ATATAAAAGACAAAGACTTACAGACTCTAAACCTAACATAACGCATCCATTCGTTCCGGTGACTGCCTGACAGAGAAGTAAGAGCGAATAACGCTAATAATTACAGACTATAAACCTAACATAACGTATCCATTCGTTCCGGTGACTGCCTAACAGAGAAGTAGAGCGAAGAGCGCTAATAAGCCGAGCCGAACGAACCCGACTAAATATAAACCCAGCACAACACAAGCCCATTCTCATTCCCACTCTTACTATTATCCCAGCTGTGATCTTATTCTGATTAACGATACTAGGTCGGGTAAGGAAGGAGGAGGAAGAGGAGGAGTGGGAAAGCAAAGAGGTTCATTTCTCTAGACTCCTTACCTCTTAAATTCCTCTTTCTTTATCCGCGCTTGGTCTTATTTTATGTCTTTTTTCCTCTTCACGACTCCTTTTTACATTTGCGCCTTTTCACCTTGATTTTTTTTTATAAATAACAGTCACCACAATTTACAAATAGAGCAGCCGGAGAAGGAAGCGAGGTCAGCGAAGCGAATACACACATTACCCCCACCCCCCTCCTACCCAACAACACCTATCTCCGGAAACCCCAATTCGGAATCTCGCTTGTAATTTATTTACTGCTTGTCACTATGCGTAGAGGAAAGGATGTACGTGTATGTGTAGCTGTCTACCCAAACCCAGTCGTAGTTTAACTCCAACTCCAAATCCAAATCCAGACTCGGAACCCGGACTCGGGTTCAGACTCGGATCTTCTGGGTGTGGATGGCTTTTTTTTTGTTTTTTACGTCGCACTGTCGCGCGCTGATAGGGAAAGGGCAGCGAGCGAGCGGGTGCGAGCGATATTGATCCCGCCATCTACGGATACGGAGATCGAGATCTAGATCTGTATCTGTACATGTGAGTTGCATGTCACACAGATCTGTCTGCTTTCGGCGATGGAGAGCGACGTTCGGCTGGCTTGGGTAGCTTGTTGGTAGGTGTGTATCTAGATCGTTTGATTTATGCGATTGACGTGGTGGCGTTTATTGTGTTGATTGATGAGGGCTGGAGATTTATCTATTTAGGCTAGACAGTATGTATAGGTAAACTAGAGGCCTCGGTGGAGGAGACGTGCTGTAAGAAGCAGTCCAGCCCAGCCCAGCCCAAGGGTCCTCCCAATCGGCGGCTCATCAGCGTTGCAGGAGAAAGTCACAGGATCTTCGCAAAGAACCAAATAGAAGAACGGACACGTGTGATGAGTGTGATGACATGATGGATAGGAAAGCAAATCTGACGGTTGAGTAGAGAAACCAAAACAGAAAAAAGCTGATGCATACACTCGACGCCAGCAGGGAAGGAGGCAGGCTCCGAGGCTGGGTATATCACCTGGCGACTTCGTAGCAAGTCGTGCTGACGTTGGAACGACAGAGCAGATGACGCCTTCATAAGCTGGACGGAAGGAGAAATTAGCCAGCTCGTACACATGCTTGACCTCAAGTGCAGCCTAGAGAATCACGCAATAGACGTGATCTATGGTGTTGCTTGTTGCATCTACTTACCTAGTTCTTTCGTCGATTCTGTATCGCCGGCTGGTGAATTGAAAATTAGTCCGTCATGCGATCGCCGAAAAGTCGAGGCGTATGTATGCGTAAGGAGAAAGACTCGTTGAGAGAGTTTCTAGACGCGAGGTAGTTACCTAGTATGGGACTAGGCATTTGTTATCCCCAGCCTCCTCTTTTGAATTGTACTATAGAGAGAATGTGATGGTCTGGCAGTCTGGTAGTCTGGTACCTTTCATGTCATCGTTTGGTAGACGCTAATCGAGCGCCGGCCGGGCCGGCACGAGATGGGACGGCCCTTGCACGCTAATGCGTGACATCTTTCACGTGCGCCCGTGCCTGATCACCAGTATCACCCGCTGTCTCGGGCCGAACGGAACGGTGCGGAACGGAACGGAACGGGGGATAGACGTTGGAGGCTCAAGGGTGAAGGAAGGCATTTGGGATAGATGAACTTGCTTCTGTATATCTATCTATCGACTGATCTATCCACCTCCATCTCCATCTCTATAAGCTACTCGTGCAGACACGGGCCGATATCAAGATACGAATGTATACAAGTACATTTACTTAGTGCTGACCAGACTTGACAGTAGCTCGGCGACTTCACAAATCCCCTCAACATGAGCTAAAACTAGCTGAGAAGATTATCGACACCAGAGCGCGAGCTAGATCCATCTCTCGAGAGGGTTTGAGTGAGTGAGTTTTTTATTTTTCCTTAGTCTATCTATGATCTAGGCGTGTACATACGTTGCTGATCCCGCTAGCTCATCATACAAGCGTGTCTGATCTCTTCACTCACGACCTTGACCTAGCTCCTGGGCAAAGGTATATCAAGGCCACCTCCCTCCTCCCTCATTTCTTCTCCAGCACAGCATTCAGCATATGCACACAACAGAGCTGATTCTGCAATTGCCAAACAAACTCCCTCTCTCTCTCTCTCCTCCTCATCCTCCTCTTCTGCTCTCCTCTGTCTTTTTTGTCGTACTTTTGCTTTCATCGTCCCTTTGCTTTCATCGTCCCTTTTTTTTCATCGCGTCCACCGCTTTTCGAATCCGTCAGTTATTTTCTCCTCTTCTTTTCTTCTCGTCGACACCATCCTCCCCCATCCTCCTCCTCCTCCACCACTATCCTCCCCCTCCCCTAACACAGGATCATAAACCTTTCTCCCGCTCTCCATCCCTTCCTCCTTGACCCTCTCGTTGGTGGTGCTGACTGCCTACAGGG